CTAATAGTGTGTGTGTGTGTGTGTGTGTGTGTGTGTGTGTGCATTGCTTTGTTTTGTAGTTTTTGGTTTTAAGAAAATCATGGTGGCTAAGGTTGTGGAAAGATGTGGGAACAAGTCCCATTGTCTTCCTCATTCTCTAAATTACCTGTTCACTTTTTGGAAATCATTTAGATAACTGCAGAGATTAGAATCTGAGGTTCAGAGCATTGTTCCCCAAAAGTTACTCCAACCTTACCACTGTCAAGAAGCGACAGAGGCAAACAAATGAGTGTCCTCTGTCACCTCTCCCACTCCTCTTTCATTTCCCACAACCTGTGTCAAAGGAGTAAGTGAATAAAACCCTTGTTTTCAGAAGGTAAATGGTTGCTGCTAGGAAATCAGTAGCAATTCTAATAGTGTGTGTGTGTGTGTGTGTGTGTGTGTGTGTGTGTGTGTGTGTGTGTGTGTATTGCTTTGTTTTGTAGTTTTTGGTTTTAAGAAAATCATGGCAGAATGCTAAATGCTGACCTCATCCTCTTAATATTGAAGGAAACTACATGGGGACTAGAAAACTGAGTTTTATAGACTCAATTATTTAATCATCTTTCTGTGATATTAGACCATCGGATTATAATTAACATCTGAATTAAGTGAAGCATTAGCCCTAGTTATGTATTTCCCAATGTTGAGTAGACCAACTGTGAAAGCATTTATGGAAACTATAACATGTTAAGCAAGGGAATGGTAAGATGACTTACTCTGCAAGCATCTCTCTTGCCGGACATGACTCCCGCACAGAGCATCCTCGAAGTAATGATCCCATAGGTGGAAACACAGAGGGTTTGGTCAATGAGCTCTACCTCTGCTTGTTGCAAAACAGGGGAGCCTTTATTGTCTGAAAAACACGTTGGAGGCAGAAATCATGGAAATTACTATACTTAATCAGGTTTTTATTAAACAATGTACTCACATTAACTCCTTTTATGCTCAATAACCTCAATAACAAGTTTTTAGATACATTCTATTATGATCCCCACGTTCCTAATGAAGACTGGGAGGCTTAGGAGGTTAAAGGACTTGCCCAGTGGCCCACAACTAGCAAGTAACAGAGCAGGATTCAAACCCAAGGTCTGACTCGCTCACCCGAGCTACTGCCATACTCCTCACCATGTCCTCCTGCTTTCAGTGGGACTGTGAGTCAGCAACTGTCATTACCAACACTTACTAGCCAAATGGAGCAGCGTAACTGATATATGGGAGTTCCTTAGAAACCGTAAAAACATAACATTTTGGATATAGCCTTTCCACTTCCTTTTTAACCTATCTGGCTAAGATGACTCAGAAAAATACACATATACACTCATGTTTGTGCAGAAACTGTCTCCTGATAAGTTGGTTGAGTAGACTCTTTCCTCTTGTGCTTTAGGATAATACATTAAAGTCCTGAGAGGTTATAAGTGTTCAAGCAGTTAGCCGACTTCCCCGTTGAATCTACTGAGACCTCAGCAGGCCCAAACTGGTGGTGAACATCATAACTTCAATAAGTAAATGAAGGCAGTGAGCACTTGAGAAGCTGCCCAGTGAATCTTTAGAGAATGTCCCAGTGGTCGGCAAACTGCGGTTCACGAGCCACATGCGGCTCTTTGGCCCCTTGCGTGTGGCTCTTCCACAAAATACCGACTTCTGCGCATGGGCCACGAAGTTTCAATCACACTGTACATGTGCGCCTGCACGTGGTATTTTGTGGAAAAGCCACACTCAAGGGGCCAAAGAGCCGCATGTGGCTCGTGAGCCACAGTCTGCCGACCACTGTCCTAAACCCGTGGGAACGCCTACAAGGGAATCTGAGATGGTTGGGAGCTCAAGGGAAAGTATTAGCACTAATCCTTGGAGAGGTGTTCACCTTAAGTTATGGACTTTTCTCTTCACTATATTAGTATATTTAGAACCGACCATTACTCTTAGACCATGACAAACCTTGGCAGATTAGATGTATGGCTACCCTCATATACTCACACTTTTGTGAGTAATGAAAAAGATGCCCCTCCTGGGTAAAGGAAATGTAAAAATCCATCCCCAGGCCTGAATGTGCAGTCTGGAGAGCTAAGGGCAGGCTGGATTTCAGCCCTCACTCTCAGTACTTCAACCAGATGTCCCTGTGCAAGACATACTTGTATAATCCTCCAAACAGTTGTCTAAGAGTTGACACAGTAGGGTGTGTGTGTGTGTGTGTGTGTGTGTGTGTGTTCTTTCTTTCTCCTTTATGAAGATGAATCACTTCTTTGGATGAAAAGGGAACCTAGAAAGAAGGAGGAATTTATTCCTATTTTTAGTGGAAAACTTTGCAAACCCCTCAGAGTCTGAAAGGCTATCTTTTCAATCCTGCCTTGCACCTGTTTCTTTTGGGGATACATGGAAAGCATCATAAAACAGGAATAATAATACCTTCCTCCATTCTACCTCTCAGAGTTATTAGGAGGCTCAAAGGAGACCATCTACAAGAACCCCCTCTATGAGCCCCTAAGCACTAGATCAGCACAAGTTATTCTTATCTGGAGGGAAGAGCATGGCCGTTCACCCATACACACACCTGCTTCGTGCCTTCGCCCCCAGCCGGTCACCCAGCACTTTTCCCCACTGCGCACTTTCTGGCCAGCGGGAGGGATGCATATTGGCTGAATGAGCTGTTTCAGGGTCTCAGGCCAGGCGACACTGAGCTGTAGCAAGGCAATATCATAGTCGAAGGTCTGGCTGTTATAGTACTCGTGGACCACAATTCTTCTTACGGGGGAGACAAACTTGGCATTCCCCTGCACATACATCCCCAGGTGAGCAGTCCATGGCGTCGGGTCTGACAGCCTGGTAGAAAAGGAACCAGGCACGAAGTCAGTGGCTTAATGAACCAGACATGGTGAAACAAGTATTCCACAGAGAGATGAGCAAAGGGAGGTCTGACTTTCATTCCCTATCACAGTTGCTGGCTCTGTCCACAGACATGGCAAGAAGCACAACTTCTCTGAGGCTCTCTGGTCTCCATATTAAAACCAGAGCTAGAGTAAGATGTAGTGAGGGTGGTGAATGATAGCTACTAGTATGCACCAGCAACATCCTAAGGAAATGTTGGAAATTTTCTTGCCACTGGTATTTCATAATCCACACACAGGTAAGAACGTTAGTGACTAGAATGAACGCTATATTCTTCCGAGTGGTACTAACAATAGTCTTCGATGGAGGCAGCCAGGGCCAGTAAGACAGTGGTCTGGGAATCCTTTTGCCAAATTCCAATAATATAAATAACCAGATAGATTAGAACTCAAAGTGCTATAAGCAGGGATTTAATGAAATTATTGTTTGCTGGAAGATTTAAGGATCACTGCTCTAACTGCTCAGGCATGACCATTCCCAGGGGCCCCACTCCTTCTTGGTCCTTCCAGAACTCTAATCCTAACCCCCGTGGCCTCTGACAAAATCAAGAAGGGTCTTGTTGTCTCTATGTGAGGTTTTCATCTCCACCAGTACAGCAGGCTTACTCTGGTGGGGTGAAGAGAATGTGGAAGCTTTGGAAGTAAAATAAGGACAGAACTCAAAGAGTGTGACCCTAATTTGCTTAGCTGACATCTCATCGGTGGTACTGGCGACCCAGAAGGGTATGAAGGTTAGCATATAACTTGGAGCAGTTTCATAGCATTAAAGACTAATGGTCACATAAAAGCTGTTTTAGTCATTAACAAGAATCCTGTAATTTCTGGGAGAAGCAAACACTCTAATTGTATAACTTTGTTGAAATATCCCATCCACTTAAAATTTTTTGAATAAGAAGGTAATAATATTTTTGTATCTAAGATCCAGTAGATTCCAAATAAGGTTACATTTTAAGTGAACTTATTTTCTAAGCTTTTCTTTTGTTAGGGGCAAAAATAGAATATTGGGGACTAACTATAGTTATAAGAAATATGAATCATGCTCTGTTAACCTTGTGATTGCCTTGTTCTGATTAAAGATAGGACATTTTAACCTAGCTGGGAGTTTTATGCTCCCGCTACTCCAGTCAACCTTGGACCTGGCAGTCAACCTTGGACCTGGCAGTCAACCCTAGAATTCGGTCCATTCTCATTCAAGAACTGCCTATTATCATGGAAAGGTTAACAAGTTGCCCAAACAATGGAGTCCTGCCCCAGCATGCATTGCCTCCTTCCCCATGCCTGTATTCCCTACTTTCCCATGTAAACTTTGTCCTGCCCTATATAAGCAGCTGGTTTATGGGGGGGCAGGGGGGCTGCAGAGCAGATTTTTGTGGATGACCTGCTTCTCTCCCGTACTGCCGTTGTTGTTGGAATAAACGCTCATATACCACTCAAACCTGTCTCTGACTTGAAAGTCCTATCCTAGTTCCTCAGTTTAGTGAAAACCTATTCATTCTTGATGTTCTTTTGTGTTGTTCTTTTTTCTAAATGTCAATAATTCCTAGAAGCGGGGCTGCAGAGCAGATTTTTTTGGATGACCTGCTACTCTCCCGTACTGCCGTTGTTGTTGGAATAAACGCTCATATACCACTCAAACCTGTCTCTGACTTGAAAGTCCTATCCTAGTTCCTCAGTTTAGTGAAAACCTATTCATTCTTGATGTTCTTTTGTGTTGTTCTTTTTTCTAAATGTCAATAATTCCTAGAAGAAATGTTTGGCACACAATTGGTGTCAAAAACACACACACAAAAAACCCCCACAAACTACCAATTATGAGTGAACGCCACCAACAGGAAGCTCTTTCCCACAACATGAAGGCATATGCATCATCTGTAGTCTGAATGTGCCACTTCACAGTACAGATTGAGATGCCCTACCTGTTTCCATGGAAACAGTGGGCTGCAGAGAGAAGCCACTCCCTAGAGATGACCGAGGCTCCACAGTAGGCAGATCCAATGAAATGGAGGCTCACTTGCCAGGGCCACCCCCCTTCCAGGGTGTCGGTGCCCCCGATGATGCGGTGGAGCGTGGAGGCACTCCCACTGCAGCCTTTGGGAGAGGAAGGGTCATGTGATTTAAAGGCAGACTTGGAAACAAATTGGAATGAAGTCGTGTTTAGTGCAGAGTTTGTGACTGATTAACCAGGTAAGCAATTGAAATCTGCTTATCTAGATAGGAGGCAATGTGTGGATCTTTCTGAAACCAGCACCAACAAACCACTCCCTCCCTCCTGAAAGCAGGCTGGCACAGAGTCTCCCACAATAATGTGAGGGGAGGAGGGGACCTGTTAGTAGCAGCTGCTCTGATAGGAACAGCATCCGTGGGGCTTGGGTTGTTAGTAAAAAGAAAAAGATTTCATTCCAAATGCAACAGAATTGAGACTGTCTTTGGAGTTGTGCTGATTTGAGAAAAGCATTTGGGAAACAATTTGAAAGTTCAAGACTAATGAAAACCTATTAAGAAACACTGGTTATCAGAGCAATTCTTTTCCAGTGTAAATAGTATTGATAAGGTCAGAGAGTTAACATGTTGGCACATAGCCAATAGAGGCCACACAAGTAACAATACCATATGGCAGGTTAGTTTTCAAACCATAGATAAAGCAAGAACCAGGACTTAAATTTGATCTAAGGTAAAGCATAATTAGCAAAGTCATCCCCTGTGTGCCAGTATGCATTTCTTTCTCATAGGTTTTTTATTTAAGAACTTGTCCCTTGATCAGAGTTATTAGAAAGTGAAGTTCTCCTTATAAACATCTGGTACATTAGTGCTTGTTATCAAGAAAGAAGATGGAATCTATTCTAGTGTTTTTTAAACTGAGGAACTATTTCATATTCAGTTCACCAGTATTCTTCTCTGGGCCTGAGGCAACCTCTGCCAGGGGAATTACACCAAGAAGGGGATGAAAAGAAAAACTGAAGAGGAAATCTGAACTCTAGCTACTCACTGCAGCCTTCTTCATCGCTTCCATCTGGACAATCCACAGTCCCATCACACTTTGCATTTTGTTTCCTGAAGCAGATATCATTGCCACACTTAAAAGTTCTGTTGTTGCATGGAATGCCTAAAAATGAACAAAAGAAGACAGGGGTTTGTTTGTTTTTTTTTTTTTTAGCCAAAAACAGATCTGAGTAAATGACACTGAACTCTGCAAACGATGGCTTAAGCACAGGTTGGGAATTTGCTGCTCTGGGAAACAGCAGAGGGAAATGAAGCAATGTCCCTCATTGACCTGCCCCTTCACCTCAGCAGAGCCTTTGGAAGGCAGGCAGGCGGGCAAGCGAGCTGGCGCATCTGCTGAGAATCAATCCAAGGGCCTCACCATTCTTCCACTGCAGAAGAACTGCAAAGCAGTTGGCCATATCATTGACTTTAGGTCATGACCTCTCTGCTATTATCTTGTTTTCCAAGAAAATTTTGGAGCAAAAATTATCACCATACTCAGTCTTTTTATACGATTGGGGCGGTGGGGGTGGGGGAGAGAATGGACAGACTGAATTATAGCACATTTGTTCACAGTGTGTGTGTCTCTGCAGGGGCATGGTTTTTAGCAAGTTCCCTCCGTGTCCTTCAGTCTGGAGCAGCATTAAAAGCAAGTAAGCAATGAAAATCTCCCAGTATTCACACACCCACACATAACACTCCACCCCAGTTAGTGACCCACAATCCCAATTCTGTCTAAGACGGAGAGGATTCCGGGATATGAGATTTTCAGTATGAAAACTGAGAAAGTCCTGGGAAAAGAGACAAGTTGATAAGTTGATTATGCTAATCCAACAAAGGTGTTTAGATTCTGATTTAAAAGAATTGTATAGCCCTGGCTGGGTTTCTCAGTGATTAGAGCATTGGCCTGCAGACTGAAGGGTCCCAGGTTTGAGTCCTGGTCAAGGGTATGTACCTGTGTTGCAGGCTCGATCCCTGGCCCTGGTTGGGGTGCATATGGGAGGCAACCAGTCAATATATCTCTCTCCCATTGATTTCTCTCTCTCTTTCTCTCCCCACCTCTGTTTCACTCTCTAAAAATCAATGGGAAAATATCCCTGGGTGAGGATTAATATATATATGTGTTTTATAGGGAGAACAGCAGAGTGCCAGGACCCTTACTCTGAGTGCAGTTCTGCTCGTCCTGGCCGTCCTCACAGTCCCTGAAGCCATCGCAGACCAGAGGGCCCGGCTGCCTGAAGGAGCTGGCGTTGCAGGCAGGTTTAAGAGTCACTGGAATGAGAACAGACAGAACAATCCTGAGCCTGAGACATCAACTGGACTCTCTGATGAGAAGCAGGGCCCCTCTACAGGTAGGCTCAAAGGGTTAAGATGACTTAAATGCAATGAAAAGTGTGTTCTCCTCAAAATGGACATATTCAGGGAGAAAAGCAAATGTTTAAACTTCGTTGTAATTCCTAGCACTTTGAGTTTGTCAGATCTGAGTTTTTGCTTTTGTGTAAATGTGTTGAACTCTGGTGGGTTGTTTATTTAATTACAATTAAATGCATTGCAAGATTTTTATTTTAAGAAAAAAAAGCATCAGGTATTATTTAAATTGAACTTATCTACCTTCCTAAACAAAGTGGGAGGGTCCTGAGATTGGGGATTTTGTCTTATTCTTCTCTGTACCTCAAGCCTCTGTCCAAATAGTAGGTGCTCATTAAAGGCTTGTTGAATGAGCTCTGACCCGGTGGCTCAGTTGGTTGGAGTGTTGCTCCTACACCTAAAGGTTGTGGGTTTGATTCCTAGTCAGGACACATACCCAGTTTACAGGTTTGATTCCACTGGGGCACATTTGGGAGGCAACCAATCAATGCTTCTCTCTCATATCCATGTTTCTCTCTTTCTCCCCCTTCTCTCTCTAAAATTAATAGAAACATATCCTCAGTTGAGGAATTAAAAAGAAAGGTTTGTTGAATGAATTATGAATGTGAAATCTTAGAGGATAATAGACTTGTAGTCTATATGTAAGGAAAACTCTCTTTAAAATTATTTTATCTCGAGAGATTCATATCCTGAATTAGAAAATACCAGTGTAAATTGATCAATTTTTGGAGTATTTTTAAAAATTGCCTTTTTACAAGTGACAGGCACAGTATATTAGCAGGCATTCTTAGAAGGTATGATTTCTTAGACATTTCTGGTTCTGTCATTTTTGTTATCTGATTGTATTTTTTTCAGAGGTACCTCTTGTGAGGGGCAGGAAAGGACATTGCTGCTCTAAAATAGTTCCTTAAGTCTCCAAGAATACCTAGTTGATGCCTAGGAAATAGCTCTCAAAATGGCATGATGAGAAATAATGATTACCAAAAGAAAACTACACACACACACACACACACAAACACACACAAAACAAAACAAAACAAAACAAAACAAACAAACAAAACACACATACACAAAAAAACAGTCCTTATTCTAAAATAACAATAATTACTTTGTTTTGAGCAAGGAATAATAATAATTAAAAACAAAAGCAATCTCAATTGCTATAATGATCAGTTTCCTTAGTAAATAGAAGACCCCATAGATTCAAAAGTTCAATGCACTATAAGTTTAAAAAAGTTTCATTCTGGCCCTAACTGGTGTGGCTCAGTGGATAGAGCATCAGCCTGAGGACTGAAGGGTCCCAGGTTCGATTCTGGTCAAGAGCATGTACCTTAGTTGTGGGCACATCCCCAGTGAGGGGTGTGCAGGAGGCAGCTGATCGATGTTTCTAACTATCCCTCTCCCTTCTTCTCTGTAAAAAATCAATAAAATATATTTTTTTAAAAGTTTTATTCTGTTTTGTCAATTAAAAAAGGAGTGTAGAGTCTAAGGTTATTTTTATGAATATAATTTATCACAATTAGCTATATTAACTACAATATTTCTCCAAGAATATAAATAAGATTCAATAGCTTCACCATTGCAATTATTTGAATTAAACTCTGGATCCTCAGGAGAAAGTGTTACCAATAGTGTCATATGTTCCAGTGAACTTTCATCCCCATATTGCTCCCTGAAACTGAAGATAGATTCAGAAATGACGTGCAAAGAGTAATGGAAAACCAACAGATATTCTCTGCCCAAAATAGTAATATCCAATACCCCACCCCTTAGTCATCACCAATGTGATATTGATGCAAACTATATAAGTAAAAAATAATAACAGTTCTTTCATTCACAACACCTGTGCTCCATACTTCACTGCAGATTCTCTCTAGCTGAAAGAACTGTGCTTTAATATAGGATTGTTCCATATTTAATTGTTTGAGGAAACTGCATAACATTTGCCATAATGGCTGCAATATGGAACTACCATTTGGCCCAATAATCCCACTTCTAGGAATATATCCTAAGAAATCCAAAACACCAATCAGAAAGAATATACCAGTATGCACCACTATGTTCATAGCAGCATGATTTACAATAGCTAAGATCTAGAAACAGCTCAAGTGCCTATCAGTACATGAGTGGATAAAAAAACTGTGGTACATTTACACCATGGAATATTATGCAGCAGTAAAAAAGAAGGATCTCTTACCCTTTGAGACAGCATGGAGGGACCTGGAGAGTATTATGCTAAGCTAAATAAGTCAGTCAGAGAAAGATAAGTATTACATGATCTCACTCACATGTGGAATCTAATAAACAAAAAAAACAACAACAACAAAAAACGGATAAATGAAATAGATCCAGAGACATAGAAGCATGGAAGAATCTCAGAGGGAAGGTGGGGGAGGGTGTGGGGGGGTGAGAAGAGATCAACCAAAGAACTTGTATGCATATATGCATAACCCATAGACACAGACAATAGTGTGATGCAGGCCTGGGGTGGGGGGCAGGGGCAGGCTAGAAGGGGTCAATGCAGGGGAAGGTACATCTGTATTACTTTCAACAATAAAGATAATTTTAAATTTTTTTAAAAAATAGATTGTTTAAATAAATAAATAAATAAAATGGAATTGTTATATTTAAGATTGTGGTTGACTAAATTATTAGCCACAGATCACCACTTCCTGTGGTATATTATGCACCCCTATCCCTTGCCATGACCCCACACTGTGCAGAATAAATCTCCCTGTCCCTTGACTATGGCCATAGCTACCTGACTTGCTTTAACTGATGGAATATGACACAAGGGATGGTGTGCCAGTTCCAAGCCCACAATTTAAGAGGGACCATGTGATGTTGCTGACTCCTTCTTTGCTCTCGTCACTGCCCTGGCTAGCACCCTAGGTCAATGAGGAAAAGAGCCATGAGGAGTAAACCTGACCCCAACCTGCAAAGAACCAAACTCAAGAGGACCCAGTGCTTGAAGCAGAGCCACCCAATGAGCCCAGCCTAGATCAGTCACATCCCAGACAACCAGAATGAGTGATTGTTGTAAATCCCTGAGTTGGGGGGGTTGTCTGTTATGAAGCAATAGGTAGCAGCTGCGAAGACCCAGGATATGCAGCAGGAGCAACAATGGCCCTGACAAGTTATTTATTCATATGAAAGTCATAATAAAAATTTGATTACCCACCACAGAAAAGTTCATCACTTTCATCAAAGCAGTCATTAACTCCATCACACCGCTGGGCCTGAGGGACACACAGGCCTGAGGAGCATCTAAAAGATCCAACAGGACAGGCTGCAGAAAATTAAAAAATAGAAAATATTGTGTGGGTCCCTAGAAATCACTGGAGCACATTAATAAAGAAATATGAAGTGATTAGTGATTAAGGAGTTGACAATGTAACAGTAGTAATTACATAAGTTCTTTATCAAATCTAAGTTACAGGTGATAATTGAAAAACAAAAAAAGCAGAATTTAGGAGAGCAAAGAAAGCAAATAAATTCACCAAAACACAGTCAACATTGCAGCCAGGTCACATGTACAGTCAAACTTCTACTTCCTCCATTCTTGCCTCAGCTCTCTGACAAGACTCAAAGAAAGCTGGAGAGTACCTGAGAGAGCCCAGCATTCTTAGTGTGCAGTTTTAGACACCCCAGGGGGATATGAATGGACTCTGGGGTCTGAATCCTCTATGATCAGATGCAATCTTCTGAGGAGTCTTTACTTATATTTTCAATTAATCTCTGTCTCAAAATACATGAGTAACCACAGATCTTAGAAAGTTGGACCTAGAGTAATTAGTGACTAGCCTCGAAACTCAGGACTCCTGCCTCCTCCCCAGTCCATAATTTTTTTCACTTCAATCAGATTGCAAGTTAAAGATTCCATTCCTGGTCTTGATTCATGAATCCTGGCTTATAGCTACATATAATAGAAACTAGAGGCCCAGTGCACGAATTCATACACCAGTGGGGTCCCTCGGCCTGGCCTGCGGGATTGGGCTGAAATCCACTCTCTGACATTCCCCAAAGGGTCCCATATTGCAAGAGGGCACAGGCCAGGCTGAGGGATCCCACCAGTGAACGATCGGGACCGGGGAAGGACTTGGGAGGTTGGCCAGCCAGGGAGGGACTGTGGGAAGGCTCCAGGGCATGTCCAGCCCGTCTCACTCAGTCCCAATCAGCTGGCCCCAGCAGCTGGCTAACCTACCAGTCAGAGCATCTGGTGGTCAGTGCACGTCATAGCAAGCGGTTGAGCAGCTTTAGCATATCAATAGCATATTACGCTTTGATTGGTTGAACAGATGGCCTGACGACCAGACAGTTAGCATATTAGGCTTTTATTATATAGGATAATAAATCCTTCCTCCCTTGCTATGGTCTGAATATTTGTACGCTCTCCCCAAATTCATATGTTAAAATACTAATGCCTGCCCTAACCGGTTTGGCTCAGTGGACAGAGCGTTGGCCTGAAAACTCAAGGGTCCCAGATTTGATTCCGGTCAAGGGCATGTACCTTGGTTGCAGGCACATCCCCAGTAGGAGGTGTGCAGGAGCAGCTGATCAATGTTTCTCTCTCATTGATGTTTCTAACTCTCTATCCCTCTCCCTTCCTCTCTGTAAAAATCAATAAAATATTTTTAAAAAATAAAATACTAATGCCCAATATGATGGTATTAGGAGGTGGTGCCCTTGGAGGTGATTGGGTCATGAGGGCAAGAATGGGCTTTAGTGCTCCTTATAAATGAGGCCCCACAGAGTTCTCTAGCCCTTTCCACCATGAGAGGATACAAGGAGAAATCTGTGATGCAGAAAAGGACCCTCACCTAACCACACTAACACCCTCAT